GGTTTCAACTAAATAGAGTGTGTATGCAATTATATAAGTTTTAATAGCCTAATGACCTATATATGGTTATACGTTCTATACGTTTCATACGTTCAAATGTTCATTATCGATAATTATCGATAGCAAATCAATAAATATGGACGTCCGGCCCAGGTGTTTGAACATGTCTAGCATATTAAAAGAGTGTGTATTTGTGTATTCTACACAGATCAAGAATATTGAGTATATGTATGTATTAAAGTTCCGAATAATTGGGCTGTCTGACAATTCATTAGCTTAAACAGTAACGACTACCCTTTCATATTTTTAATATATTGTGATTGCAATTGTGTTTTTAACCTTCTCCTCAACGTGTTCCCATTGTCACGCTCTCTTGGGGTCTGCTGTTACGACTATCTGTCGTGATTCACGCAATTTCTAGACTTTCCAACTTGATGACGATAGTGCTCTGCCAATCCCAAGTCTCATAGCTATACTCGTCGTTGCTTCGACGATTGCATACAAATTGCTGTTGTTTATTCTGAATGCATACACTATACTCTCATCTAATTAGGAGTATATACGGCTTGAAAAGGTCATATGACTTTTGTAAATAATAAAATAGCGTGATGTCATTTTTCTTAGCTCAAATTTATATTGATGCTCATTATGCAACTGCGTATAGAGTATCTAGTAGTCGTTTGACAATCCCATTTGATTGCTTCAAGTCAGGCTTGGGTTTTTATGTGAGTTTCTAAGTAATTGACATGCAGTTTTGTTTGTTTCCACGATTGTTAAAAATGTACTCTGTGATTAGTTCCGTCAAAGCATGATATGAGTTGATAAGAGCGTAGTAATTGCTGTGGCTAAGACATTATCATTTGATTAAAGTAAATACATTACGATATTTGGCTGCAAGGCAAGTGAGCTTAGATATTTGCTTACTTTCTATGTTCGATTTTCAATTCTAAATAAAATGTAAAAAGTAAGCTGCGAATGTTTAAAAACCTAATGATTCATGTCACTTGTTAATTCAAATCTGTTTCCATTAACTTTAATAGAACCCAGTTAATTTCCTGTCTACAAATCAATTTCAATTTGCTTTTGTTCCGTTTTGATTTCAAACCAAGTGCAACAAGCTTTCTATCTTTCCCCAAAACAACAAAGCCAAACAACAACAACAACACACGAAATAAATGTGTAGAATCGCTGAGCCGCAGCCTTTCCCTCACTGCTCTCCGCCTCTCACTCTCTCTCTCTCTCTCTCTCTTTCTCTCGCTCGACTCTTTTTCGCAGTGTGTTTAAATAGCTGCATAAATATCAATTAAAAAGCAGAGAACGCAGCAAATAAAGCCAAATAAGCCGAGAGATAGGAACCACACCAGGGGTCTACATAGAGCTCGATGCTTTGAAACTCAATTACCGTTCCCTTAATTACGAAACTTGCACACAAACGAGCGCAACAGCTACGTCTAAAGCTGGAGTTAGAGCGAGAGCGCGATCATGGGAGGGTATACAAAAATTTGCATTCAACTAGTTGCAGTCGCTTCTCATTTTATATGGCCATGAAGCTGCCGCCTAAGCGGGCAATGCATGCGTGCCAATGCTCCTCTCTCTCTCTCTCTCTGCCCCAACTTCTTTTCCCCACACATTCGCACAAAAGCTGGCCACGCAAGTGTGACGCGTTCAGTTGTTGTTGTTGCTGTTACGAGTATTAAGCCAGTCAACCAAAGCTTTTCAACCTTCTCTTCGCTCTCTCAGGTTATGTAAATATCTCAATGTAAACTGTTACTACACACACATGTACGCATGCACGTATGTATGCATGTCGCATGTCGCATGTCGCATGTTGGGAGTGGGCGTGGTAGACTTGAAAAATTCTTTCACTATGCAGCGCAGACAAATTTCGTTTTTTGGGGTCTCTTCATAATTTTGTCGTAGTTTTATTCATTGGAGGAAGCGCAGCGAACAAAACGAACGAAACAAAGGCAAAAAAAAACAACAACCAGTTTGGACTGTATTGTTGTTGGCCTGGCTGCGACGGCGACGGCGACGACGACGGCGACTGTGGCTTTGGCTGCGGCTATAGCAGGGCTAACGGTGCTTAACGTCACCTACTTTTTACTCAGTTTTTGGTAAATAAAATACTTCAACGGCATGCGATCGTGAGTGTGTGTGCGTATGAGTGTGTGTGTGTCTAACAGTTAAACCGGTTCCAACAAATTGTGCATTGAAAACGAAATGATTTTAATACCATATTCCCATTGAAAAAGGCCAAAAATAAAGGGTATACTGGAGTTATGCAAGTTTGTGTAACAGACATTAGAAAGCAGGCAAAGCCGGGCCAATCACGATCTAGAGAAATATTTGGGAAATAGAATTTCGCACATCACGATCTATAAAATGGGAAAACAGATTGAAGAAGCACAGCCGTATGTAGTAAGGCATTTTGCTGGGTATCTACTAGTCGTGCACTGACTAGAACACTTTTACTTACAAAAAGAAGAAGCAAAGCTGAAGTGTAAGTTGAGAGGCCCCGCTGTTTCTTGGCCCAGTTAAGTTGCCCCAAATGCACCTCGTTTTCTAAGACGCGCCAGAATCTGTTAATTGGGTAACATATTTGTCCTCACAAGCTTTTCCATACAACTGCTGGATTAAGAAAAAACACATTTACATATTTTAACCAACGCTGCGAAACATGTTCAGTAATTTGAGCGATAAGACACACAGACGTGCCAATATCTAAAGAACGAAGACTGAAGAACGAAGAACTCGGCTGCTTTACTGTCTGCGGAAGAGCGCGTGTCACGGCCAAAGCTTCAAGTCTTCCCCGTATACAAGTTCCGATACGCTGTTCATTATGTGAAAAAGAGTATATTGGTTTTGTACAATGTCCGTCTAACTGTCTGTCCGTCTGTGTTTCCATATGAAAGCTAGTTTTTAATATTTATTTGAACTAGAACTTTTAAAATTGAAACATTGAAAATCTGAGAATTTTAAAGTCTTAAAATTAGAAGAGTACAATCTTCTCAGATTAGGCTGCCCACTTACTTCCACTTCACATCTTAGATTATAAAGAAGACTAAAGAAAATATTATTAAAAACCTTAGAAAAAAGACTATCTTTAAGGTGCAGAGAATCGGAGATTCAATATAGATCTAATATGCAGATCATAGAACCCAAAAACTTTACAAGCATAAAACAGATAAAATACCTTTAAAAAACACAAAATAACTCAATTTAAGATTGTTCAAATACACGACAGCTATACAAGCTACGTCAGCTATATAGACTTTATACTAAACTGATCCAATCCTGCGGCAATTTTCATAGATTTGGTTAGGAAAGTCCTTTGCTTTATCTCTTTCTATCTTAACTCGGCTAAAGTGGTCAACAGGGCCTGGACAATAAATATATACAAAGCTATATAAAAGTATGATCAATATATGTCGGGATAGAGCTCCAACATTTTGCTATTCCACTTCGATTCGTGCAATGCCCGACCAATTCGAAGGTAATAACCCCCATTCGACCTCTTTTTGCTATATATATACATATACTTAAACCGCCTTATCAGGCGGACTCGTTACACAGGTAGCAAACTCCTTTACTCTGAGAGAGGGTGCGGGGGGAGCGGGGCCTGCACATGCACAAGAGTTGTTAAAAATTTGCATAGCTTTTTCAGCTTGCAGCTGGGAAAACGCCGGGGAAGTCTGAACATTTATAAATAATTATATTATACAGCGCCAGCCACAAACTAAAACATTTTAAATGACTTTCAGTCACGGCAGGTAACAAGTGCACGAACAACAACAACAACAACAACGATAACAAAATTTCATCGGTTTGGGGGAGGGGGGGAGCGAAAGGGGAGCTGAATGCAAAGTTTGCAACTGCTGTGAAAATTTGCACTGTGATAAGAGCCGTAAATTTTCCAACTGTGATTCCTAATGAGCTTCTACGCGAAGCAATTAGAAAACTTAAAATTTGTTGCTGTCGCCAAATGCGGCTAAAGGCAATTGCCAATTTAAATGGGGCAAAGGTGGCAACAACAACAACAACAACAGAAGCATTTTCACATGAAAAACCGCACAGAAAACGCGAAACAGTGAGCTCATGGGAACTCCAGGTGTGGGTGTGCCCAGCTGTTCGAGCGTCATATTGTCATTGTAATCTAACCTTGGCCAAATGCCGCCTAGCCATGGCCATAATTTAGACAACAGAGCAGAATTTGTCTTGTGCCTTGTTATCTTGGCCAAACACGCAAGGGATTCACATTTAATTTCGTTTCCTTTTCATGGCTAAAAGGTCGCATTTAGATACTCGCACTCGCACTTAGCTTTGACCTAAAAGCTAATTAACAACTCGGCTCTTGCCTTTTTGGCCAAAATGGGTGCAGCCCTCGTCATGTGGATGACCTATCCAAACGGTTGACCCACAAAATCGCCGAAATGGGAGCATTTAGAGTGGGAGATGGCGCCCCTTAAAGCTTCACATGTTATCAATTTACCTAATAGACTCCATTTTTATAGAATTCTTAAAACATGAAAAAGAATTGGCGCGAGTTGCACTCAGATTAAGGAAACAAAAATATGTAAAAATTAAACATAAAATATTTAAAATTTAATGTTAAAGCTTCACTTGAGCTTCTCTTTAAAGCTTTAACTGTACATTGAAGTGGGATGTACATAAGTATGAGTCATGTATGTGTTATTTATGCTTTATGCTGCAAGATTGAAATTTGAGCGGGTCAGCAAAAGCTTTTGGGGATAGGAATGGAGACCATAGGATGGCTTGAGATCCAAGAAGAACGTTTGAGACTGAGTCATTTGATAAGTAAAAGCTTTGCAGGTAGAAGAATATTCGATAAGATACGAACAAGATCCGTTTAAAAGCTTGCGCGACGCTTATCGGAATTCTCGGCGAGTTTTCGCAACAATTCTAATTGGCAATGTTAATAAATAAAATGCAAATGCATGCAAAAGTAAACAAAAGAGTCAAGCAATAAAATTCCAACCAACCTGTAGACAAGTCTAACCTGTTGCTGTTGTTGCTGCCAACGCTACGCCGACGCAAGCTAAAGAACTTTAACTTGAAAGCTTGACTCCGCTCGCTTGCCTCTGTCGCTCTCTCACAAAAACGCACACATACAGCAGCTCTCGCGCGCTCTTACACACATGCACAGCCAGGTAAGCTTGGGAGCAACACGTCTCGCAAGAAGAAGCAATATTGAATGATCGTCATGTATGCGTACGACTATGTGTGTATGTGTCAATTTTCTTACGGCTTACACTTTTTCACGGATACTTTTTGCACTTCTTTTAGCTTTTGCTGAAGCAATAAAAAGCGTGTCGTTTAACTCCTTACACTAATCAAATATACCGCTTCACCGGCGACGATATTGAAAAACAACCGCACGAACACAGCCCGGCAAGCTACACTTTTGTATACATACATACATGCATATGTATTTGGCTATGTATTTACAAAAGCCAAGCTTAAATGGCAACTTTTCGAGACGTTTACTGATTTAAGCCCGCTTAAATGTGTATTTACTTGCATGCTGCTCACATTTGTATTGGCGTTGAATTTCTGTTACTGTACGCTGTCGATAAGCATTTCAAATGTAGTTTTTTTAAATTTCGTTATTACTAACTTAAATAAAGTTAACAATTCGTTGTTACGCGCAATGCACGTCCGACGCGGTTGATGTTGTTTATGCTTCTGAAAGCAAACTTTGTCTTACGTTACATACACGTAACATTAACAGGTGGCGCTTTTTATAGACTTTGGCTTGCTGTTAACGCAAAAAAGAGCAAAACGCAATATTGCTCTGTTACGTTAAGACACTATTATTAACAGATCAAACGATATCGATAATCGAATCAAATTCCGTAAACGCGCCAATTTTTCCTTATCTGTATGCTGAAAAAACGCTGAAGCAATGAAACACAAATCGACATATATTACAGTAAAGTAAAGCATTTAAATTTAAATCAAAAATTTTGCGTTTGCTAAACGAGAATATGTACATTTTTGCGGCAACTTGTACCGCAGTTTAATGTAAAGTCGATCTTCGACGACGACTGTTAATGACTTTCGATTACAATGTTGATTACAACATATTAATATAATATCGTTTCGAATTGAGTAAGAAATCCCCGACAATGTTTTGAGGCATTGATAGGTATTGTGAAATTATAAAGTAAGCCCTGGTTTTCTTCTCTACTCGATATTGGACGACTCCATTTAAGCACAAATTCTTATCAATTTTCAAGTCGAACTTGTAAATGAACAGTGCTGTAAAACAAGCAAAAAACGAATTCTTAAACACGCACACAAGTATACTTTGGCTTTCTCAGCATTTTGCTTATAGCTCCTCCTGTGTGCGCAGCTCTATTTGTGTTGCTTGCCTAAGAAAAAAGTCTAATTCTTCTACGAGTTTGGTTTGCTTCGTGAGTACCAGACGAATTAGATTAACTCAATTTGTTTAAGAGTCTCAAAGAGCAGCAGCATGTAAGCATAATGCATGCATGTATTTTCCTATACACACACACACACACAAAAACCAAAACATATTCATCTTGCAGATAACTGTTTTCCTAACAGCACGAGCTTTTTTAAGTCTACTCTTACAGTTTTGCAAATATCTAAAGCAACATTGTAATGCCGCCGAAAAAGCACAATGGATTCATGATGTTTGTCCAGGAATGGCGCAGAAACGACGCGGAAGGCCGAAAAATGTCCATGGCGCAAGCCGTTAGTAAATGCGGCGAATTATGGAAGGTAAGTACGCACAGAACAGACGACGGCAACTATCTGATGTGTTCCTTACAGAAAATGGACGCACAGCAGCGAGGACCGTACAACGGATCCGCAAAGGAAGCGGATGTGGTAATGCGTTGCAAGGTGGAGCGCATGAACTGCCACGGCCAAGCCCTCTCCGCCGTGCAGCGCGAGGAGCGGGAGGCGGCCGATCGCCAAATGGGCATGAAGCGCAAAATTGAGCGCATGGTGCTCGACGGCAAGGCGCAGCATGGTAAGCTTCGATTGCCACATTGCTACTCTTACTGATTTGAGATTCCCTCGCTGCCTAAGATCTGGAGAACACGAAGTTCATTTTCGCGGCTTTCAATTACTTCACCAAGGCAATCACAAATGATATATACATACCTGCTGAGTTTGCGGCATGCGAGTTTTCCTTGAAGTCGGGCAAGACCTCGCTCTACAGCTCGCATATCAATCCAGGTGTGTGAGCTACATCTATGTTGGTCGTTCGATAATTTACAGCTTTGCTCCTCGCACAGGTCAGCTTATTTTTGGACAGGGCAGCGACACGCAGCATCACACGTCGAATACGCATCAGTTGCCGCTGCCGCCGAATGCATTGGGAGAAGCAAACATAGGCAAGCTGTACGTGAGCATTGTAGAGTATTTGCGTGGCTGCCAAGACGGCGCCGGGCATCCCAACGATCCGCTGGTGGTCTTTACAAGCTCCGAGCTTGTGCCTGTGGTGCGAGGCTGCTTCAGATACCTGGAAAGCGACAGCGATGAGGTGCAGGAGAACATTGAGGTCTACGACATACAGTACCTGTTCTATGTGCTCAAGAAGGAGGTCATGGACATTGCAGATCTGCCCAACGATCATATAAACAAGAGCATTACCGACAATTTGTTCGTCAATGATTTTTTTGAGTATCATTCGGGCATATCGTGTCAGGTGAGTTGGCTATATCTGCAGCGAACTACCAACTAATAGTTACGTCTAATCTCAAGTTTCATGAGGACAACGATCGCGGCAAATACTGCACCCAGTCGAAGGTTGCCCGTTGGTGTTACCTGTTCAGCGACTATATGTGCGGCGATCTTGCGATCAAACCGCTGCCTGGCAAGCATATGCCGCCCAAGCAGGAGCCCAGGTTCAGGGTGATCAATCCTGAAGAGACGAGTGAGAACAGCTCCTTCTCCAGAATGACCAGGACTGAAAAGTCGAGTGGCAACATCTCATTCGCCTCAATCAGCTCGCTTCAAACGGAAGTGAAGCACGAGATAGTTGATCATTCGGCCTTTTCTGCCAACCTCAATGCTTCGGAGGACTTTCCCACTCTTGGTGGCCGCCAAGGCAAGCGCAATGCCGAGCCATTGGCCAAAAGTTTCTCTACACGCACTGCAAAAGGCGTCTGGAATGTGCCTGCCTCAAAATGTACTGTTAAGGACTTGGGAGATGCGTTCAACATGCCCCGGCGATAAGCAGAAGTTAATCTTAAACTGACTCGAATGCAAGCTCCAAGATATCGTCTTGAGCGTGAGCATTTGTTAATCTATTTTCTAATAATTCTTAAATAAATCATTTATATTGTTTTTGTTAAATGAAATGGCATATGAAGTTCAAAGAAACAATCTACATTTAAAACCATTTCTTCGCATTGTTTTATTTTAATATAATTTGGTTTCTGCCTTGGGACTAACTCTTGCAGCGGGGGGCGTGGAAATCGTGAACGAGACGAATCAAAAATGGCGGCAGTCTCACCTGTGCGTACAGGTAGGCAGCGCGAGTGAGCAAGAACAACAAACGTGCGACCCAGTTAAATTGCCGGTATGTATGTATGTAAGCAAGTGTCTGTATGTATGTGTGTGTGTGTGAGTGCGTTGCATACTGCCGCCAGAGCAAAGAAATATAACGCACTGATCCATGTACATATGTACGTTAGTATGTGTATACATACATATGTACGTATACGCTCTTTGCTTAAACAATTATGTATGCTTGTACATACATAATTAACATTTATATGCGTATATGAATTATAACATACATTAAAGATTTAAAAGGTATTTAACACTTGCATAAACGCCAAAGCTAATTTACAGTTAACATACATATGTATGTAAGTGTGTGTGTGTTCATTAGTATTTGTTTATCTTGTTTTACAGCACTGCACAATGATAGGTTAAATTTGAACTGAAATTACATAGGAATGTGTTTTGGTTCGTACGAACCGATGAAAAATGGACATCTATCGCATTGGCCAAGTCAAGTCCTTTGAATTTAATGCATTTTCTTATATTGGCTTTGTCTAATTACTAACATAGGTTGGATTTACAGTTGGGGCTTGTAAAAATTTGCTGTGGCAACACTTCCCAAGAGCATCTGTACATATGTAGCTACATCCACTTGCACACAAATGCAAGTGCATGCATGTATGTGTGCATGTGCTCATACATTGAACATGCAACACCGCTATTTGATTTTTTTTAGTTGGAAACCGGCCAAAATGTCCAAGATCAGTAAAAAGCGAACTGATTGTATTCCAGATGTTTTCGAGCTATTGCCAATTCGCGAATATCGCTGCGAATTCGAATGCGGCAAGGTATTCAAGAACCGCAGTCCTTACGAGCTGCACTTGCAAAACAAACATGGCGTGAACATCAAGGAGAATATATATGCATCCTTTCGATGCCCGGTCGAAAATTGCGATTATTTGGGGCGACGTCTAAACCTGGTGCGTCGACATTACCAGAGCCACCATATGGAGAAAAAATACAACTGCGCCGCATGCAATCGAAAGTTCTTAATGGAATCGCAGTTCCTGAAGCACAGATGCGAGGTACAGATCTACTCCTGCCAAAGGTGCCCAAGGACATTCAATTTATTGAGCATGCGGAACAGGCATGTCAAACAGTGCGTCAAAAAAGCAACTGCCCCAACGCCGCTGCCCAATGCCAGCGAGGACGAACTGGAGGATAACGGTACGACTTTATATCCCCCATGTTAGCGGCTTATTGAGGTTAAAGATCAAGAATATCTTTGTTTCTCTCCAGGTGCAGCTGTTGACCCTATTGAAAAAGTGGATTCCGACCCAACGATCGATGAGTTCGAGCAACTGCTACGGAACATTGAAAACAATGTCGTTAAGGATCGCGCATTGATCGAGGAGCTGGCAGCATTAACCCCAATCCTGCAGAGCTTACAAACATAATCCCCGATTCGTACCGAAATATCTAATTGCTGTGAATTAAATGTTAAGTTCTTTTTTATTTTGCACTTTAAGTACATTTATGTTTTAATAATAAGACTAAGGCTCTGGAGAAATTCAATTTTAAATTAAGTACGAATTGTTAGAAAATTGAAGTATGAGAATAAAGTATCTTTATTAAGTGATTGTCATTGTATTGATTGTCATAAAAAGTGCTGCAATTCAACAAGAATTTATTTGTTAAGTTTTTCCTTAGAGTTTAAGCGATCTTTCCCAGAATTAACAAGCCTGGTTCCAACACACAAAAGAAATCTTGCCAGCATTGGAATAGCTTTCTAGGAACGATTGGGGTATGAATAGGAATCAGCTTCATAGAGAACTAGCAAAAGGGCTGCCTAAAGGCAATCTGGATCTCAATGATGGATGACCCCTTCTCTTCCAAGAAGAGCAAGGAATTGTATACACTTTCTTATGATATTACTCGAATAGAAATAACAAGGAATAAAAATGTGTGATCAAAATCTTCATTTTAAATCACACTTTAAATCACTTCCTTTTAATACACGCTTCATACGCGTCATACCCACTTTCAATGGGTACAGGGTATACTTAAAGCTACACTCTTTTGACTTAACTTAAACTCGTCCCCCTCTTATACTTAAAACCCTATCTTATCTTTTTTCATTTGTGAAATCAATACCAGAATGCTCATTATTCTCACTGAAGCATAGCTCTCTTTAAAAACAATTCTATAGGCTCTTAGTTTCTGAGCAAAATGTACACTACATGCTAAGTTATTTAATACACTTAATAGTAGTTATTGGGTAAATAGCTTCCGTATCCACCATGCCATGGGATCAAGCTATGACATCCCCAGGCTGATGCTTGGTACTGATAGGCAAAGTGCTGTTCCCGCGAATAATTGACCATCTGACTTGGGAATTCGCTACGGCCTGGTATGCGATGCCGCAAGTCATTCTCTGGCAAGTAATTGAACTTCGCTATTTCCAAACGGTGTTGGTGTAGTTGGTATTGCGCTTGCTGGAAGCTCATGGGTTCCTGTAATTGATAGTAGGATCCGGGTTCAGGTCCATTATGGTAGCTGTTGTACGTGGTGTGAACGGCAAAAGCTGGAATATGGGATGGAATTGGATGAGAGCTCCCTTCCCCGACGGCATGGCTGTTGTAAGCAGGCAGCATTCGCGAAAAACGTCTCGAAACCGCAGAAATTGAAGAAACCGTTTTGGAAAACTCCACATTTTCTGAGACTGGTCTTGAAAGCTCCACATTTGTTATAGCTGATTTACCAGGAGCTTCATTAAGTGGAACCAAGCCTTTTTGTACATTTTTGTGGTTGTGCGTCGGTTTTCGATGATCAAGTCTCTCCTTGGAGTCATTCAATGCACCTCGATATTTTGGAGGGGAAACGTCTGGAGAACAATCTCGAGTATATGGTTTTTTGCTTAAGTCTTTAACATCGCCTTTATGTGAGGTCCTTGGTGATAATATTGCCTTTTTACTGCCGCCACTGCCGCTTCTGGAATATTTTAAGGTAACGCTCTTTGAATGTGGCTTTGATCTGGAGGGTGACAGCTCCATTTTGTGCCCGCTGGTTTCTCTTTTGCGCCATTCTTGTTTTCTCTCATACTTTACTCTTCGTGGACTACGTGAGGGCATGCGACTCACGTTGTCACGTGAAGCATTTCGGTCCCAGATTGTGCGACTTGAAGAACGAGATCGCCCACGAGCGTTTCTTCTAGGCGAGGAAATTCGTCGATGGCATCGACTATCGCGATTCAAGGACCGTGAACGGGACCGTGAGCTAGAGCGCCAACGTGATTGCGAGTTAATTTCTCGACGATAGAATCTATCCCTTTCCCTGTCATCTGTCACGGACTTGGTTTTTGAATGCGGTCGCAAATTCAGGCATTCTCTTTCTTCCGATTTGTTTTCGAAGGACTCATCTGTTTCATCCACAGATAATTCATTAATACTAAATTGATCGCTATCACAATCAGTCTGTTGTTTTTTAGGTCTTCGCGTAAATATGGCCCAATCCTCTGCGAGGTCTTCAGCTATACTCGGGGGCGGCGGCGGTGCTTTTTCGCAGTCATCCGCCTTATTCCTATCTTCGATCTTTGCACGACCATCATCCATAATACTTTCTCCATCTTTGGAATAGTCATTCTCCCCAACGTTTGTATGCTTTAAAGTAGCTGCATCTAATCCCCAGCTATCGTCGTCTTCAAAAATGTTATCCAAATCAAGACTATTAAGAGCATCCACCGCATCTGGATTTATAAACTCTTCATAATCTATCATAGGTTCTTTTTTTATGTGTGTCACGTCTGATGGCTCAGCGTTTTCACTGCGTCTATGGTCACCTTCTTGCACAAGATCTTTCTGCTTATCATTGTTCGGTGGCTGACCCATGTCTAGACGGTTCTCGGTATGGCTGGGCATGTGACGATTTGGAAGCATTTTTATAGCCAATTCAGAGCACATGTAACCAGCAAAAGCGAAGGCCCAGCGCGTAACATACGATTTGGAGCAATGCGCCGTAAGATCGCGCTGCTGGTGGAATTCGCAGCCGATGTCCGATAGAAATTCATGCGGATCCAGATTGAATTGGGCAGTAGTGATGTGAATGGATGCTGGAGGCGGCAACATGCCAGCCTCACACGTCGCTTTCTTCAATACATAGAAAAGATATTCTATGGGGTAGACGCTGAGCTGGCTAGCCACGCCACCATTAAGAAACTTAAGGGCATTGTTGACAACTGATATTTGGCTTTCCAAAGTAAACATGGGCGAAAGTTCAGCCTCAGGTCCACATTCCAATCGTACGAACTTAAGCAAATCTGCCAGAATACCGTCCAAGTCGTCATTACCCAAAGCATTAGGTGGAAGCGGCAACTGATGCGTGGCCTTCACATGCTCCTGGGTCTCATATTGTGATTCATGGACAGTGGAGCCTGAAAGCAAACACATTTTAGTTAGCCACTGAGCACATGAAGCCGCGTATCTGTACCAGGATTGATCAGGGTATGATATATATTCCGCATGCCATGCTTCAGAGTGAACTGGACAACGGCCAGTTCCGCGGGCGTATAGCTGTCTTTTGTGAAGTAATTAACCATAATAAAGTAATAGCTTTGGGTTTCCAATACTGCTCGCTGGGCACTATATCGCACAATATTCTCTACTTCCATATGCATTTGTTCCTGGTCAGCGTCTCTCTGCAACTGTGCACTGGGAACTGTGCCTGCTTTGAGTTGACGAGCTGCGTCGCGGTATGGCTGGCGTTCCTCTGGACTCATTTTCTAGAGCGCACAAGGGGAGAGTAAAGAATGCATTTTCTACTTATGGTATTTCAAATACCTGCCACGCCGGTCCGGCCAAATGGATGCACTCCTTCCACTGCAGATTGTTTGCTCTCAGTTTGCGCCATTCTTGTACAAACAGCGAAAATGCAGATTGTTTGCTATTCCTCTGGCGCCCCATCGATGGTCCTCGTCATATCCAACTACCTTTCCAGAGCTGGCTGAACTGGGCACAAGAACATGTTCCCTTTCAATTGTTGTGAATGCAACGCGAATCTTTTCTTGAGAATTTCCAAAACTAAAGCACGCACATCGCCCACGCACAAAAACTTTATTGAAATGATATTTGGCAACGCGCATTTATTTATTCATACAAAAATGACTTTTAACTATTTTTAGTTAAAGTGATGCATCAAAATGCAAGCGGCGCAAACGAAAGAAGTAAGTAACAGAGCCATTACAGAACAGCTGGTGCTTTAACATACCTACCGATTAATATCTAAAAACTTAACAGCTGCTAACTGTAAGCAACAGAGCGATAACAGAACAGCTGGAGCTGTAAATAGCTATCGATTATTGCCTATAATGAGCCCTTATTCGTTTGTTCAGCTTTTGCTGTATAATACAGCTATCAATTATTAATATTATCACAATTAACATTGTGCAATAGAGATTAGTACAAATTTAAATATTAGCCGATATTTAAATTACACGATAGTTTATTGGAGATGTTATTCTTCACCTTCCAGTACTTGTGATTAGTAACTCTTAAAAATGGAGAGCTCATCTCTAACGTGAACGTGGAAGGGACTGGAAAGAAAAACACACGTCAAAAATTCTTAACACTAAGAGCAAAAACAATCATTTAAAGCGTTTTTAAATGCACTTGATCCAAAATTTAAAGGGCTTGCAATAGGAACTGTTCAACAAGCTGCCCACGTTCAGCATCAACTGCCAAACAGCACTGCTGGTGACTAAGCGACAAGCAATATAACTTCAGGCGCAGGCATAGGCGGAGCCAGCCACGAAAACATTTTACAATCAATAATAAAAGACAGCAAACCAGGCTCAGCGTCACCAATACCATGTCCATCAATGCAGCGGGACCCACAAAACAGGAAATCGAAGCCGTGTTCAGTCGCCTGCGGGCGCAGCCTGCCAACAAGGTGAGCTCGGGCAAAGTGTTCCCAACTCCAATTTTAGTTAACGTGAGTTTTCAATTTTGCAGTCTTGCTTCGATTGTGCAACAAAAGCGCCCACATGGTCCTCTGTCACGTATGGCATCTTCATATGCATCGACTGTTCCGCCGTGCATCGCAATCTCGGCGTGCATTTGACCTTTGTGCGGAGCACCAATCTGGACACCAACTGGACTTGGCTGCAGCTGCGGCAAATGCAACTGGGCGGCAATGCGAATGCCGCGCAATTCTTTCGCTCTCACAACTGCAGCAGCAGCGACGCCCAGGTCAAATACAATTCCAGGGCGGCTCAGCTGTACCGCGACAAGCTGGCGGCGCAGGCACAGCAGGCGATGAAGGTCTATGGCACCAAGGTGAGCATCTGGCTGCGTTTTCTGCGCTCATGTTGTTTCTTGTTGAGATTTTGTGCTTGAACTATTTAACCCTGAAACCAACTAACACAAAACGTTTGCTGTTCTCGCTTGCGCTTCACTTGTATCTTGTTTCTCCATTCCCACACTCACACGCACACACACGCAAAGCTGCACTTGGACCCGGCGGCGGATAAGAGCGAGGGCAATGATGCCGCCAAGGAGGACCAGGAGGAGGAAGACTTTTTTGCGCAATGCGATAACATTAATGCCAACGCGCACCTGGAGAACAACAACATCAGCCTTGCGGCCAACGATGTAAAGGTGAAGCCAACATAAACACACGCATTTCTTGCTAGAGTTGAAGTTGAAGTTGACGTTGATTTGCTTCCACCGACCAGAACCGAAGAGAACTCTTTACTTATTTGGACTGCCTTTTTTTTCACAGCTGGAGACCAAGCCTGCGGTGGAGGCCAACACAAGTGTTGGAGTCGGTGCGCCCAGCGTCGATCTTCTCAACTCGATTGTGGCCCCCTCAGCGGTGCCTTCGTCTATAGGTGTCCGCAAGATACAGCCCAAGAAAGGAGCAGTAAGTAAACCGTAGAAAGAAATTGAAACGACATAAATCTAAAAACCATCTCTCAGCTGGGCGCACGCAAGGTGGGTGGATTGGGCGCGACGAAGGTAACGACTAACTTCGCGGACATTGAAGCGCGCGCCAATGCGGCAAATGAGAGTAAGACGGCAGCAGCTGCTGCAGGACCTGTTGAGAAGTCACAGACCGCAGAGGAGGAGATGGAAACTGTGGCGAGCATGCGTTTGGCATACCAAGATCTGTCGCTGCAGAAGACGCGCGAGGAGGCCAAGCTAAAGAGCATCGATCCAGCCAAGGCCAAGCAAATGGAACGGCTGGGCATGGGCTTTAACTTGCGCGGCTCTGACGTGGCGCACTCCGCCCTGAGCGACATGGAGACCATACAGCAATCCGCTGCCCCCAAGGCCAGCGCACAAAGCAAACTAGCTGCGCTGGAGAACGAAAACTTTTTCAATGATCACTCGTTGAACTTGTACAGCGGCGGGGGCGACAAGAAGGAGAACTCGAGCAGCACCAGCAAGTTGGACAAATTCGAATTGGATGCGCTGGGATATGAGACAATTGAGCCCATTGGCGGCACGCACAGCAACATCACGTCCATGTTCGCTGCCGGCAGTGATTACGACAAGCCCAATGCGCGTAGCACCGGAACTGCAGCAGCCAACAAGAGCAAAAGCAAAAGCACCATCAACAGCAATGATCCCGTCGTGGCGCAGCAAAAGTTCGGTAACTCTAAGGGCTTCGGCTCTGATCAGTACTTTGCGAGCGAACAATCTTCGGCGGATATTAGCGCCAATCTGAATCGGTTCCAGGGCTCGCGCGCCATATCTTCATCAGACTACTTCGGGGACGGTGCCCCAGGAGGTGGCATGAACAATCGCGGTACTAAATGCACTTATAAGACAACAAATTAATTGTAAATAGCATTGAATATGACTACAATTGTTCGGTTACAGGCAGCGGCGGTTACACGACTGGCGTTAACTTTAATGCACCCGATTTGGACGATGTCAAGGAGAGTGTGCGCCAGGGCGTGCACAAAGTGGCCGGCCGGCTGAGCAACCTGGCCAACGATGTCATGTCCTCGCTGCAGGATAAATACGGTTACTGATAGCGGCAACATCAGCAATAACAGCAACCGAAGTTAACCATGAAATGATTTTTATATAATATATGTCACTCCAATTTAGAATATGTCCAAAAAGTTATAAACAATTCCAAGCCGACAGCTGTGTAGCGTTGAATTTGAGAATCGATTTCAAAAGATTCTTGTATAAACAACACCATAAAGTTAAACGTAGTGTCTTCAGCATCATATTACAGAAATACATTGTACAACTTGTGCATTATATGCAGATGAAAATAAGCAAAGTTATTTTAACGATTGATGATATCGCAATTGTGGAACAACCATTAGCTCTTAAGTCGAATCGATAGCTGCTGTTTTTGTATGGCATTTTGTTTTTTTATTATTATAATTGTATCTGCATAAGGCATTTCTAAGTTTTAATATTTTGTTAATCTTGAAATTTGGTTCCGATTGAAGTTAAAACTGCGGGTATTATTTTTATAAAAGAAAACAAAAGTAATATTATATAATAAATTCAAAATACGTTGCGTAAGGCAAATACGGCTTTCCAATCACTAAACAAAAACGTGTCTTTTTTTTTTTTTTGGTTTAAAACAGAAAGAACTTTTATTAAAATGCGCTCGGAAACGTTTACAATTTGGCTAATAATTACAAAAATCTTTGATTACAGACTCGGCGCAGACTCGAAATGAAAGTATCGTTGCACCCGGCGATGCATTAGCAAGAATTGGTGGTGGACATTCAAGTGGCGTCGCAATGGGAATGAGCATCAGTCATGGAGCAGGTGGTCAGCTGTTTAATGGCGACGCTTGCTGGGACTGGGACGGACGCGAGTGCGTGCGGCTTCCGGCGAGCCGTAGGCAATGGCGTGCGATGTGGCAGAGCCGCCCTCACCGGTGCTGAAAGAGTTGGCAATGGCGATGGCGCCGCCGTTGGTGCCACCAAAGTCAATGGGGAAGAATGTGCCAGCGGGCAGAGGAGCGGGCTTCTTTACGGGCTTGCCAGCAGCGCCAACGGGCTTCTTGACAGCGGGACGGCGAGCGTTGGGCACACGAGCGGGATGCTTAACCACGGGCTTGATGGGCTCGGACAACTCCTCATCATCCTCTTCGACATCATCGGCAACAGCATTCTCGGCCTCTTCATCCTCAAAAGCAGCCACCTGGGCCTCAGCATCTTCGGCAGACTGGTCCAGCTCGACGATGACCTTCTTCTTTGCGGGCAGATAACGGTTGGCAGGTACGACGGCAGCAACGGGCGCTATTGGAGCCGGTGCGGGCAGCTCATCATCATCAACGGCTGGCACTGGTGCTGGCTCCTCGGCGGCAAAGTTGTAGTCGCGAGGCACCTTGGCGGCATCGTCGCTTTCGCCCACAGTCGATTGAGTGTCGGCATCGGCGCTGTTGCTGCTATCGACGGCAATCTGCACCACAGGTGCCTCATCGGGATAGGCTTCGGCGACAGAGCTGGCACCATGAGCGCCGGCAGCGCTCAGGGCATCATCAGCCTGGGCGGTCTCCGCGCTGATGTTATCCACACTGACTGCCACATCGGACTCTGCGTGATCGCAATCTTTGTTAGATAAGCAGGAGAATTGCGGGTAAGTTGGGCTTGTTAGTGGTTAACAGTTGCTGGTCGGGCCACTCTCATGCTTACCCTTGAGATATGTGCCAGTGGCAACGGTTTCGCCGGCCACAAGTGCGCTGGCCGCCTGAGTGGAGCGTGCGTGAGTGCGTCCTGGCTGCACGTACTGCATGTACATTATTCTCTGCTGGGGGGCGGAACCGTACCATTCGGCGGCGACGGGTTGCTGATAATAAGCCATTCCTGGAACAAGGTATTGCCGATCTTCAGTGCGTGCAGTTGAAAGGCATGCGGATGGGTATGGGTTATGGAGATGTTATGGAACGAAAATATGCATGAGAATTATGTACTATGGGAATGGAAATGCAAATCATGTATTTGTCATGAAATTTGTAACGCTTCCTACCCCATAAGGTATATATAATCTAGATCAGGCTTGATATATCCAAGTCCCTCTATGCGAACTAGTCTCTCAGCTATCGTCCTGAAACTTTGCATAGGTCCGTCTTTCTATCGCAGGCAGTACATATATCGAAACTGGCCGGATCAGATTACTATATCATATAGCTACCAAAGGAACCATCGAAAAGTTGACCCTTGTATAAAAAACTTTTTTGTTTATCAATATATCTTGAGCAAGCTCGGCATTTATAAGATTCACTATGCTCTCTACATATATGTATCAATATCGGACCACTATATCATATAGCTACCATATGAATCATAGGTCGAAAAGTAGGTTCTTGTATGGAAAACTTTTATGCTTACTAAGATATTTTAAAGATACTCAACATTTGTTAGTTTTACTATGCTCCCTACACATATATTAAATCTTATCAATATCGGACTACTATATCATGTAGTTGCCATAGGAACGTTAGGTCGAAAAGTTGGTTCTGATATGAGAACCTTTTTTATATTAAGATAACTTGACCCAACTCGCTGTTTATTAGTTTCATTTTGATCCTTATATATATATGCAAAGTCTTATCAACTTCGGACCACTATATCATATAGCTGATATAGGAAAGATCGGCGGAATAGTACGATCTTGTATAGCAAAATATTGTTTTCTTTATGAAATGTTGAAATAAGAAATGCAAGTCGCGATTAACTAACTTAATAAAGCTTATAACTAAAGAGCTTTATTAAGAGGCTAATATTATTGTAGAAAAAACTATGGGCCTAAAACTTCAGAGTTGTTCAAGGTACTTGAAGATTTTGATCAGAAATATAATAAAACAGAATAGAAGTGTAATTGTATACGTGTTTTGTTGCATAGTGTTGTCCTTTAGAACAATTTCACTTGGTTAACTCACTTTTCCTGGCTGGCAAGGCATCGCCGCTGGCCACAAGACCGACGATCACCAGCAAAGCAAACGCAGCACTGAACTTCATGTTGGGACTGTTGTTTGGTTATTTGTGTTACAGTCCTTCGATATGGCAATTTGTGTTATATATGTTTTATATGTTATTTGTAACGCGCACTGGATCACAGCAGGAGCTAAACTTGACACTTAAGTTTCCACCAAAGAAGTGATGACTGCCCAACGCAACGCGTTAGATTTATATACGAAATCAGATTGGCAAAATAACTACAAAATGAGCATAATGAGCTGTGGCTAAAACTCGGATATACCCAAACTGGAGTCTCTCAGCGCCCCTATTTAGTATGCGGCAGGCGTTCTCCCCGGGATCGAGTCGACTCGAGTCCGAACGTGCGAACCGCCCGTTGCCTGGTCGGTTAGCGGCTGCGGCGCGGATCATTGGATGGCCCCAGCTGAATTTGGATTATTAAATTGTATATAGGCGGGTGTAGATGATTGGAGACCGGTTCCATTGTATTCACAATGTTGCACGTTTCAGCTGTCAGTTATGGATCTTCTTATGGGCAATGCGATCAGACAAATATGATAAATTCTTCGAAAGGAATTTTCGATTTGCCATTTATTTTTGGTTGTCTATTAATACCACAAATAAATACAACACGCATGTTGAACGTAACCATTAAATTGCCAATTCGATTTAAGGTCATTTCGTAGACCCTTGGACATTGTACTAGCCCAAAAATCGAGGTTTATGGGTGCGTGTGCGGTTTATCGCCATGGATAAAAGCGAGCCGCTTAGAGAATTCAAATAAAGCCCAAAGACATGCAGTGCATTAATTAGCTGGCGGGACTGGCTCCACAACGGAACAGGAAGCCTGCCTGGTAAGAACTCTGTGATTCATCCTGATACATAAATAAATAAGTAACTCCTCCATTGCCATCATCTAGCCGCTGAATCATCCGTTCAGCTACGTCTTCCCTGGGCGCCAGCTGTTTCCTTTTAAAACTCAATTATTGCAGTCACCATCCCGCCCCACTTCAATATCCCGACGTGCATTCAATCGTTAATCGAGCAGTCTCTTAACGGCTGTTGCCTCCTCCTGAAGGCACCTTTCAGCAGGTTTTTTTTGCTGGCCTCAATATGCAGATGCATTAATCATACGCAATGCCGTAATTTGCCTCGTACGAAGCTGGCTAATCTAGCTATAAGTGGGTCTTTCCTCTTCTCTCAGCAACTATTCACGAGGGTCGCCTCTAATATTGTTCAACTTGTCAGTCAATGGAGTTGATTTTTGAAAACTAGAATGGGTTTTCAGATCGGATCGGACCACTATATCATTTAACTGCCAAAAAGTAGGTTCTTACATGGAAAACTTTTTTCAAGATGTCTTGATTAAACTCATGTTTCGAATGCTGAAAGTTTCCTGATTTTCCTAATTTCAAAAACTATCAAAATGTTCTTTTACTTTATCCAACTAAAACGGTTAATGGTTCAGTTTGTGGTTGATATAACTTCGTAATTCGGGGCTTAAACCGGTTTGGCTTAGGGCTTCTAGCCTTGCAGTTAAGACAATTGTGCGTCGTTTAACTTACTTAAAATGTTGGCAATGTTGTGCTAAAATTGATATTGCGAATGGAAGGTCGACGACACGTGACACAGCACGAAGGTATTGGGACATCCTTGAGTGGGAACAATATGAATTCGATATTACATGAAAAGGTGATTGCCGGGATGTTTTCTGAGTTTTCTTTTTCGAACGGATTCAAGCCTTTAAGCCACTCGCAATGATAACTTAGCCCAATTTCAAATGTAGACACACAAGACAAAGGTCAACCCTCGTTGCAGGAAATCTTTTTCTTACCAAAATGCCTTTGGATAAGCTCTCTATTGCCATCGTATCAAATATCGATTTGATAAAGTTGAGAAAGGAAAGACAAAGAGTTAGTTTTTTTCACAAAGCTCGTGACTTCTGATGTCATATTCAAAATTGCCGGGAAATTTGGCAGCTTATTTTGCATGCGTGTAATGATTTTTTTTTCACTTCGGCAAATGTCCATAAATTAAAAACCGTTTATCAATTGAATATCGGGTTAAATTCTAGGCATGCGGCAATAAACATAATTTAAAATTAGAAAGCTTCACTGACGTGAATAACCAATTGGTACGGGAACTTTGGAAGCTTGGCGCCTAATTGTAAAGCTTCTATGATAAGGGCTCAAGTGTGTCTTACTGAGAAAGATTAAGGCATTTTGGCCATTTTGATATTTTGGGTAGCTTCTCAAATGGGCCACCAAGGCATTTCTATTTATCTGCACCACTTTATGATTTAACCAAAGCACACGCCTAATTGCCGGGTTTTTATGCAAATTGTTAAACAGTTTTCGAACTAAACAAAAAAAAAAAACAAAAGAGCTTGTGCCCGGCATGGTAATGGCCATAGTTAAGAGGGTTCTACGCAATAGTTTGGCCAAAAAAGAAAACAGTCAACAACAAAAAAACAATTTAATATCCTGTTGAACACCTGTTTATTTGTTGCCGCCATTGGCCATTTATGCTAATTGCCAGCTACCTCTGAGGCAGTTGGCAATTTACGTTTCATTTAATTCCCGAATTTAGAACACCCAAGACCATTAAAATAAAATATCCAATGCACTAGATAGCCAGCCCGAGCCACATATAACAACATGTTTTCTGCTCCCCAAAAGCACATACATACATATATATCTATATATATATATTCATTTATATATATGTATTCCAAATAAAACAAAAAAAAAAGCAACTTAATGTACGACATTATTGGCGTTACGCAGGTCGAATTTTAATGATATTTACCCGGTGCTTAAAAAGCAATTTGCCGAACAGTTGGATCGAAACTGGATATTTGGATGCCAAAAATCGAGCACCCGAACCGCATTTCTTTTTGGCCAGATATGTGCTTGGGCATTGCAGTCCGATTTAAATGACATTTGGCTCAAAACTCGCTCGTTGTCTTGATATACAGGTGATATGCAGGTAGAATACTACTCTATCAACATAGAGCCCAAACCATGCGAGTTCGGGGGCTTAAATCTTGGCTAAACCAGCCTTCTGGCTGGAATGTGAGCATTAAGACGGGGTCTTGGTAAATTCCACCTTCAAGTGGGGGGTAAAACTCGGATTTCTATAAAAGAAAGCATCCGGAAAAAAGCAACCTCAAGAGTGGATGCGCATGCGTGGTTTAGGTGCGGCAGGTCGCTGGTTCAAATGTAGCTATAATTTTTTTTATTTTTAATTTTTTTATCGAGCCAGCTAAATCAAGATAAAAAACATTAAAAAAAAAAATAAAAAGAATTTGATTTGTTTAATAATAATAATAATAATAATAATAATAATAATAATAATAATAATAGTAATAATACTGATAATAATAATAATGATAATGAAAATAATAATAATAATAATAATAATAATAATAATAATAATAATAATAAAAATGATAATGATAATGATAATGATAATGATAATGATAATGATAATGATAATGATAATGATAATGATAATGATAATGATAATGATAATGATAATGATAATGATAATGATAATGATAATGATAATGATAATGATAATGATAATGATAATGATAGTGATAATGATAGTGATAATGATAAAGATAATGATAATGATAATGAGAATGATAATGATAATGATAATGATAATGATAATGATAATGATAATGATAATAATAATAATAATAATAATAATAATAATAATAAAATAATAATAATGATAATAATTATAATAATAAAAAAATTATAATACTACCAATACTTATAATAATAATAATAATAGTTATTAATATACTAAAAATTTCCTTGTCACCTTCATTTACAAGATTATTCATTTGATTCGTGCGATGCCGGGTAATTTCAACAACAATACTACAATTCCTTTTATGCTACACATTTTATATTATTTTAATTTACAATTAACACGCACATGCTGTACAATTTGCATTAAATATACATACATAT